CCACCACACTTGACACCATCAGTGATGCCACCTGGCCGATCCTTCTCGTTGGGGGTCTTCCCCTTTTTCTCTGACCCTCCATCCTACCCAGCATGACATCCTTCTCCAGTGACTGTTCTCTCCTGACAATATGTCCAAAGTACGAGAGACGAAGCTTAGCCATCCAGCTAATAAGTAAAAGCCACAATTAGAATTCAAAGTTCATTTATCTTCTTGACTACTGAGCCTTGGCATTCATGTTTTGTGTGTTTCAAGTGACATCTATGAGCCAACTGCTTTAGAAAATAAAAAAATACAACAGGATTCTTTCCTATAGTATCTTACCGTGATTGTAAATATCAAATACTTTCTTGCTTGCTCAACAGTTACAAAAACACAAAAAGTCCTGAGTTGTGTAATTCATCCCAATACGTAGAAGTTGGGAAGGTTTCTACCCCGTAATTGATGTAAATTGGACCTTTGTGACTAGAACAATATAAAGGAAGCATAAAATAGGTGTTCAATAACATTTTCATTACTTTCTTTTACCCCTTCTAAAGCCCTTGTAAGGTGGAGGGTCAGAGAAAAAGAGGAAGTCCCCCAGAGAGATGGATTGGCAAAGTGGCAGTATCAATGGGCTCAAGCATGGCAACAGTAGTGAGGTGGCCCACTATCTGGCAGTGTTTCGTTCTGACTAGATGGCACCTAACAAAAACAAAAAAACAAAAAAAAAAAACACAAGGCCCTTGCAAGGATGACTAGGCTTCCAGAAAGCAGAATGGGAAGGATATTCAAAAGAGAACCTGGTTTCCTGGTAGGACGGGCTGTGGTTGTTTATAGACAGAAGTGAGTAACCAAGGATGTATGTCAGGAAGAAGGAGGAAATTCACACTGGGACCGGATTACTGGTGTCATTAAAACTCAGTCAAGGCACCCTTCAGACCTGAAACTTGAACTCACTCCCGTGGCTCAACTTTCAGCCAAACAATAAGCAGGTCTATTCAATGAAGACGAAGACTCACTCCTTAGAACAATCAACCATATGAGATCAAAAGATGAGCATTTACCCACAAGGCTCAGAAGGGAGATGGCTAGGAAAACAGGATGAAGGGAAATTGTAAACACAGGGAGAAAGCAGGAAAAGTGCTGTTACACCATGCGGATGGCAAATCAATGCACAGAACAAAATGTAAAGGTTGAATAGAAAACCGATTTGCTCTGTTAACTTTTACTAAATAACAATACAGTAAAATAAAAATAAAAATTTTAACCCTCAGACAATGCATAGACAATGCTTATAGATTATATGCATAATAATGGGATTAAGACTATTTCAGAGTCCTGGTGTGGTGCAATGGGTTAATGCGCTGGACTGCAAAGTGGGTTTCAACCACAAGGTTGCAGTTCGAGTTCACCAGCTGCTCCTCAGAAACGCTATAACGGTCTCTGGATTCGAACCAACACGACGGCACTTAACAACAAGACTATTTTAGTTGACACAAAAAAAATTAAATACTTACATACAAACCTAACCAGAGAAACAAAAGACCTGTACAAAGAAAACTACAAAACACTACTACAAGAAACCAAGAGACTTAAAAAACAGAAGAATATATTATGTTCTTGGATTGTTGTTGTTGTAATGTGCCGTAGAGTCGGTTCCGACTCATAGCAACCCTGTACAGAGTTTCTGAGGCTGTATATCTTTACAGGAGCGGAAACCCTCGTCTTTCTCTCGCGGAACAGCTGGTAGTTTCAAACTGCTGACCTTGTGGTTCACAGCCCGATTCGTAACCACTACGCTACCAGAGCTCTTGGATAGGAAGGCTTAATGCTGTGAAAATGTCAACACTATCCAAAGCAATCTCTAGATATAATGCAATCCCAATCCAGATCACAATATCATTCTTTAAAGAGATGGAATAACTGGTCACTAACTATCTGAAAAGAAAGGACACCTCAGATAAACAAAGCATTACTTAAGAAGAAGAACAAAGTTGGAGGCCTCTCACTTTCTGATATCAAAATCTACTACACAGCCACAGAGGTCAAAACAATCTGGTACTGGTACAATGGAGAACACAGTAGACACGTAGAATGGAGAACACAGAAGGAAATCCATCCACAGACAGTCTTTGACAAAGGACTAAAATACATTAAATAGGGAAGAGTTAGTCTCTTCAACAAATGGTGCTGGCAAAACTGGAAATCCATTCAAAGAAAAATGAAATAAGACCCATATCTCACACCATAAACAAAGATAAACTCAACGTGGATTAGAGACCTAAATGTAAAGGACTATAAAGATCATCAGTGACAAAATAGGGACAAATGTGGTGGTGATGATGTGCCAT